TAAACTCTGGATACAGAAATGGGAATTGCTACAAATAAAAGACAAAATGTTATGTTATTATTGGGAAGACAGTGAAAAGAACAAAAGGTGGAGAATATGTACTCCGAAAGTTTTACAAAAGTATGTGTTATGGCATATTCATGACTCTCCAATAGGAGGACATCAAGGAATAACACGTTCATGTAAACATGCCAAACTTTGCCCATTCTATTGGCCAATAAAATGCTCCGCAGGGCGCAGCTTGATACGACCGCAGAGGTCGAACCCTGAACAGTTGGGGCAAGTATGGACACAACATTCAAGCTTGATACAGCTCTGAATTTGGATTGTGATTAAATATTTGACACAGCATAGGTTTCTGACACAGAATGAATGTGGTCTAAGAACTTAAAAATTTTAAATTGGATATTCACCTATTATGGTCCAATATCCAAAATCTAAATACATGGTTAGATTCAGCATATCAAAGAACCCCAAGAATTCAATTTTTGATGAAATCAAACAAAGTTTAATTTTGGACCCCGATTTGGACCAACTTGAAAACTGGGCCCATAATCAAAAATCTAAATACATGTTTAGATTCAGCATATCAAAGAACCCTAAAAATTCAATTTTTGTTAAAATCAAACTAAGTTTAATTTTGGACCCTTTGGACCTTAATGTAGACCAATTTGAAAACGGAACCAAAAATTAAGAATCTAAATACACGGTTAGATTCGGCATATCAAAGAACCCCAATAATTCAATTTGTGATGAAATCAAACAAAGTTAAATTTTGGACCCTTTTGACCTCAATGTGGACAAAGTTGATAACAGGGCCCAAAAATCAAAAATCTAAATACATGGTTAGATTCAGCATATCAAAGAACCCCATATATTCAATTTTTGTTGAAATCAAACAAAGTTTAATTTTGGACCCCGATTTGGACCAACTTGAAAACTGGGCCCATAATCAAAAATCTAAATACATGTTTAGATTCAGCATATCAAAGAACCCTAAAAATTCAATTTTTGTTAAAATCAAACTAAGTTTAATTTTGGACCCTTTGGACCTTAATGTAGACCAATTTGAAAACGGAACCAAAAATTAAGAATCTAAATACACGGTTAGATTCAGCAAATCAAAGAACCCCAATAATTCAATTTTTGATGAAATCAAACAAAGTTAAATTTTGGACCCTTTGGACCTCAATGTGGACCAATTTAAAAAGGGGGCCCAAAATCCAAAAACTTAATACACGGTTAGATTCAGCATATTAAAGAACCCCAAGAATTCAAGAATAAAACCCCATTGAAATTGATCAAGAAATAAGCAATTTATACGAAGTATCTTCTTTTGCACAATACTGTGCAATTGAATATTTCTTGCTATTGCGCAATACTGTGCAATTGACAATTTCTTGCTATTGCGCAATATTGTGCTATTGGATATTTCTTGCTATTGCGCAATACTGTGCAATTGAAGATTTCTTGCTATTGCGCAATACTGTGCAATTGAAGATTTCTTGCTATTGTGCAATACTGTGCAATTGAAAATTTCTTGCTATTGCACAATACTTAATAATTTACACATCCTGTTTGGTGTGTATCTCCTACCATATCATTATTATTTGCTCTTAAATATTAATCAGAAATAACCAACTTAAAATGGAAAATTTTAAAAGAAAAAAAAAAGGAAAAAAATAAAAAAAAATAAAAAAAAATAATCCCCCCCCAAATTTTTTGAACCCCCTTATGATTCATCACCCCCAAACTCAATCCCAGCCTTCCCTTTGTGGTATGGTACCTTGCAGTACAATTTCAGAGAGATCCATACACTTGAACACAAGTTATTGTCTGGAAACTAGAAAAATGCTTATTTTTGGCCCCTTTTTGGCCCCCAATTCCTAAACGTTTCGGGCAATTACCCCCAAACTCAATTCCAGCTTTCCCTTTGTGATATGGAACCTTGTAGTACAATTTCAGAAATATCCAAACACTTACACACAAGTTATTGTCATGAAACTAGAAAAATGCTTGTTTTTTGCCCCTTTTTTGGCCCCTAATTCCTAAAATTTTGAGGCAATTACCCCCAAAATCAATTACAGCCTTTCCTTTGTGATATGGAACCTTGTGGTACAATGTCAGAGAGATCCATACACTTACACACAAGTTATTGTCTGGAAGTTACAAAAATGCTTATTTTTGGCCCCTAATTCCTTAACTGTTGGTACCATAACCCCCAAAATCAATCCCAACCTTCCTTTCGTGGTATTGAACCTTATGGTAAAATTTCATGGAGATCCATTCACTTAAACTAAAGTTAGAGTGCGAAAACCAATGTGTCTTCGGACGACGCTGGACGACGCCAGACGACGACGACGACGCCGGACGATGACGACGACGACGCCAACGTCATACCAATATACGACCAAAAAATTTTTAATTTTTGCGGTCGTATAAAAATGAATCAACATGTAAAAGATTATGTACATACGTGTGACATTTGCGAAGAGAAGAAGCAACAACCACGTTCAAAACGCCATAAGATGAAATCATACATAATGGGAGCAAGATTTGAAAGAATAGCAAGTGATATCGCAGGACCATTCCCTTTGACAGACAGAGAAAATGCGTACATTTTAGTAATAGAAGATTATTTCACAAAATTTACCGAGGTATATCCAATTAGGGACATGGAAGCTGAAACAGTTGCGAACGTTCTGCTTAAAGGGTGGATAAAAATATATGGGTGTCCGATAGAACTGCACACTGATCAAGGGACTCAGTACGAGAGTAAACTTTTTCAAGGAATATGTAAACTTTTGGGTATATCTAAAACAAGGACGACTGTTGGTCATCCTAGATCGGACAGAATGGTAGAAAGAAGTAATAGAACAGTAAAAGAAATGTTATCGAAATACATTAATAAACATCAAAAAGACTGGGATTTGTACATAGATTTTATGGTTATGGCATATAACGCGACTCCACATGACAGTACAAACATAACACCTTACAAAATGGTTTTTGGGGACTAAATGAGAATGCCTTTAGACATCGTATCAGGAATTACAAATGAAGAGGATGAAGTGAATTATGACAAAAATGAACATTATTATGTTGTGAGGATGAGAGATGAATTAGAGAACGCGCATGAAATAGCTAGACGCAACTTAGCTAAAGCATCGCTAAGACAAAAAGAGTATTATGATAGAAATATCAAAGAAATTAACTATTCAGTGGGAGATTTAGTTAGACGGAGGCAGCCTCAATTTATTAAAGGTGCAAAACGGAAATTACAAAGAAATTGGACAGGACCTTGGGTTATTGCAGAGAAGTTAACCGATGTTCTGTTTAGAATTAAACACTCAAAGAACTCACCTGCTATTATAATTCATGCGGATAATTTAAAACCCTATCGAGGAGAAACTTCAGTTCCTTGGTATAAACCTAAAACAACTGTATTAGATGCCCCACTTCCATATCTAAACTATTTTTCGGATGATGACAGAAACGACAAAACATTGCATAAATAAAGTACCAGAAATACCGAAAAACACCGACGAAGTACCGTCCGAGAATGAATGTAAAAGAAACACATTAAAACAACAAGATAAATATAGAAATAGGGTAGAACCGACGGATGCCACTTCAGACGGTAGTGCAGAACCGACCAGTAGTTCTGAATCGACAGGTAGCTCCTGTCTCCGTCCGGTAGTGTCAAAGGATCCGCCAAATTACATTCGCACACGCATTGGTAGAACAATCAGACCACCGTCACGATATAGACTGGATAACACCTACAATTAAGGATAATGGATACAATACAATGTGAAATTTGTTTTAAATGGTTGAAAAATAAGTAGAACTTAAACAGGCATAAAAGGGAAATTCATGGACATATTAGAAAACTGTGGAATTGTACCGTTGAGTCGTGTCCACAAATGTTTAGTAGAAGATCCCACATTAAAAAAACATTTAAAGATGAAACATGGAATAAAGACGGAGGTGCATACAGAAATCCCAGTTGCAAAGGGTGATGCTGAGAAAGATATTGAGAAGAATAACACTGGAAATATTTATATAACTGTTAAAAACAATCAATATTCAGACATCAGTGAAGGTGAATTTGACAATTCTGTAACACTGGAACATATTCAAAATACAGAACAGGACGCCGACCATACAAAAGGATTACCGAATATAGATGATTTTATGGATTATTTAGACACTGAAGACATTCTGGATATGAATAACAATTCAGTAATTGTAGACAACATAACAAAACAATAACATTGGAAATTAAAAAGAAAACAACGACACTTGCTGATGGCACAGTAGAAGTAACAAGGGATAGTTTAATTGCATATTCTGTGAATGAAATAAATGTTACAGACATTGTTGAAAAAGTTACATCGGAAGTAAATGTGACTATTTACACAATAAACGTGAGGCTAAGTGCCAGGACATTTAGACTTATTTATAGCCGATATTGTTTCATCTATATTTAGAATTTACCTGACAGTGTGTTTATGGTCGATGGGTTAATTAACTATATATAGTAACAATTCAAAATGGGAATTTCAAGTGCAAGCCAGGGGGAATTGTGGTGATTTTTATTAGTTTATTTTATTGTATTTAGTAGTTTTATTCATGTGTGAGTGTTAGGTGTCCAGGTGCCGACCGGTGCCTCGACGGAGTTGGAATGGATACCAACAGGAACCGTCGGGGAACCGACACAGAACCGATAAGGCACCGTTGGCCACTTCGTATATAAGAGAGTTTGAAAGTGTGAGAGTTTAGTTTTAGTTGAAGTTGAATTTGATGTTTAGATTAGTAGTAGTTTAGTGAGGAGTAGCTGATGATTATTTTTATTTATACTGTGACTACATGGAATTGTAAACTGTTATATATATTTGAAGAGAATGATTAAATGATTATATTTTATATACTGTCTTGGTTGTACTAAGCCAAAATTACTACCAAATAAAAGTATAAATAAGGACATGTTACATTACCTTTATATGGTATGGTCCAAGTACAACCCATCCACAAAACATGAAACCTACATACAACATCAGAGCTCCAACCAAAAATCTGATCATATTTGGGCATGCTTTCTTTAAAACCATACTGAGAATCTAAAAAGAATTAAATAAAAATATAATGAATGTAACAATATATAAATGTGTTAACCATAATATGTAACTAAAAACAACCAAATTCCTAAACACACAAATCTATCTTATTTCCTTATATCATTACACATAGTTATGCTCATTCTGTTAAGCCCTTCATGTTTTAAAAATCCTGGGTTTCTGACTGACCCATACCTACTGATAACTTACATCAAACATTTTGAAGAATCCTAGATACCTGACTGTCCCATATCTATTAATAACTTACATTAAATGTTTTGAAGAATCCCAAATATCTAAGGACTCCTAACCATACCAGTATACTACCAGTTCCCAGAAACAAGCTACAGTTGTCATAGTTCTCTGAGGTACTCTGAGCATTCTGAAGATAAATAAACATTCAATAAAAAATTTGTCAAAATTAAGTCTGTCACATGTTGGTTTTTAAACCAATGTGGATTATACTTCATGAATGTTTGTTTTATGAAAGTTCTACAAAACAACTGTGTACATTATAACTTTAAATTGTGAGAACTGAATCTGTAAAACAAGAACATGTGACCTAAGGAAACCATACCCTGCCCGCGATATCACATTGTCATTTCCATCTTATGTGAACTACAAAAATTGGGTTAAAACCTAAATTTGGAATTTATTTTAAAAAGTTCACATCATATTGAACATATCATTGGCAGAGCACAAATTCTTTTACATATATATACAGTGAACTCTTTAAAATTCTTTGATTAATCTATTCCTAAAAGGCTAGCGTACTTTCAATGTAAAAACATGCAATGCTGAAAAAAAATTTCCAAACCCAATGCAAAACATGATTTCAAATGATGAACAATAAAGGTGTTAACAATACTTTGTGATGACTTAAGTTTTCATTTAGTTGAAATAAGAGACGAAACATTCTGTACCTGTATCCCCACTGTCATTCCTATGCCAAATAAAATAATATGTGTGTTTCCTATTACATCTTTGAAAAAATAGGGTAGGTAGGTAGGTAATTTTTTTTATTTTACAATTTTTTTTTTTACATTGAGTCTACGGGAGAGAAATTCTGACTTTAACAGTGCTTGTTGAATAAATTGCTTTGCCGAGCACAGCTGTATACCACAGCAGAGGTCCAACCCTGAACAGTTTGGGCAAAAATGGACACAATATTTGTGCTTGATACAGGTCTGAATTTGGAATGTAATTAAATATTTGACTCATAATAGGTTTCTGACACAGAATAACTGTGTTCAAAGAACTTAGAATTGGTTATATGATTTGAATTTATATTCAATTTTATGCTTTTGTGCAATACACTATGCCTTTGTGAATTGACCCCACCCCCCCCCCCCCCCCCAAAAAAAAAATAAATAAAAATTGACCCCCTGTTTTTTTTGCTTTTGAGCAATGCACTATACTGTTGCATATTGACCCCCCCCCCCCCCCCAAAAAAAAAAAAAAAAAACAGAATGCCACACACCCCCCCCCTCCCCCTTTTTTTTTGCAAAAAAATAAATATTTGAAGAATTTTTGTTTAATTTCTGAAATCTTAAATGATATGGTCATAATCTCAATTCAAATTTCCAATGCAGTTTGCAAACATAATTACCCATCTAAATACATCATAAAAGTCTTAAAATAGATAATTTAAAAGAAAGCAGTGTAAGGGAGGTAATCCAACATTGTACAACATTGTTCAATTTTGTGTTTGAATTACCACCCTAACACTGCTTTTTAATTGTCCATTATCCAGGATACCCTTGTTTTTCCCCCTTTTTTGCCCCTAATTCCTAAATGGTTTGAGCCATAACCCCTTCCCCCACCCCCCAAGCCAATCCTAACCATCCCTTTGTGGTATGGAAACTTGTGGTATAATTTCAGAGAGATCAATACACCGTTCCATAAGTTATCGTCTAGAAACTAGAAAAAAATGCTTATTTGGGCCCTTTTTTTGGCCCCAAATTTTTAAACTGCTAGGACCATGACCCCCAAAATCAATCCCAACCTTCCTTTTGTGGTTATAAACCTTGTGTTTAAATTTCATAGATTTCTATTTACTTATACTAAAGTTATTGTGCAAAAACCAAATGTCTCTGGACGATGACGACGACGTGATACCAATATACAATGGCAAAATGTTTTGCGGTCGTATAAAAATGACAAAAAAAAACCTTTACTGTAGGCTATACCTAAGCTTAAAATATATGGTAGGTAGGGAAATAGGAAACATACATATTTTTTTATTTGGCCCTAAATCAATTTTACTATAGAAGAAAAATAGATGTAGAGTATACCTAAATGAGACAGCAACCACAGTGTTCCAGCTAGGATTTCAAAAGGGCAGGGTGCCAATACTGAAAAAGGGCATTTAACGTGTGATATGATTATATGAAAAGGGCATGTTTTAATAAAGATATTAATCAAACATTGTCTTTATTCATTGAATCAATGGTTATATATATATACAAGTACAACATGATTAGCCCAGATAAAACTCAGTCTGTCTCCTTTTTATGCTGAAAAGACTTGTCAACCACCTTGTCACACAAGTTTTCAAGGCATTGCTTGTCACAGTTTAGCTTTATATGCAGTATGTTTTGCAGGGTTTCCTGCTTTATTCTGTTTCTATGGTCATACAAGTTATACCTAGGAAAGACCCTTTCTGTCTCTGCTGTGCTTAATGGTAATACAGCAGCTGTGCTCAGTAAATGCACAATGTTAGGATCTAGTGAACAGTGAAAATTTGTATTAAAAATAAAGAATACAGAAAAAGATGACCAAGGCACCCTACCCACCCTGCTACAAACACCCTCTTTAACTTTTCCCATAATTCAAAAGACCTAAACATATAAATTATAAAGCCAGAAGTATGTAGACATATCTTAGAATATCTTAAGTAGGTAACTCAATGCTAGGAAAAAAATCAAAATGAGTTATCTTTCTTTATTCGGGTGTGCTCCTTCTTTGGAGGATTATAAACAGTACATAGAAGAAGTAAATACAATTAACAATGGCGGCCGGTTTTGTTATTTTCGTATCAAAAGTGAGGGCAGGCAAAGACTTATACGTCTGAATTTGCTAAAAAAATTTACGGAAAACAAGTAAAACGATGTTTTTAACAAGTTGATTATGGTTTTCGTCTTTCTGTCAATTACATTTTCTCCATGAAACTACAGTAAACATCGCAAATTGTGTAGTCGTATAAACATTTCTTCATGCTTACTGACCGATTCTATTTGAATGAATTAATGTTGATGCTCATTAATGACCCATCCGATAAACGGATTACCTGTAACAACAGATTATGACACCTATTGTAACCGTTGATTAGCTTGGGGTCTTAAACAAAATCATAAACTTGCCGCAAGGTAAAATTTCGTAATGGCGGATCATAACATTTATAAAGAACAAAATAAAATACAATCGATCTTCAAAAAGGCAGGGCGCCCTGGAAACTGCAAAAAAGGCACAGGGCAGCACTCGGGAAAGGGCGGGCGGACTGCCCTGTGAAAACGGCCTATCTGGAACACTGAACCAATACACCCATCATGATAATCATTATAAAAATATTTTTCTTTTTTTTAAATACCAGTTATATTTTCATCTCTTATTTGACTTACAAGCCAAATGAAAAGGTTCATCAACAAAGGCATTGTTAACACTAAATACTATACATAAACAGATCCTTATAATGGCAATAATCCAGATTGTTGGCAATTATTCCATATTTATTTTGTTATATCAAATCATGCCTTTTTTTTATAAAAGCCCACAGGTACTTGTTTAGCATTTCTACCTTACTTTTAAATTTCATGCTTTATCTACTTACCAATAACTTGAATAAAAATAAACAGAAAGCAAGAATTAGTTGCTTTTGCAATCTATCACTGACCGAATTACTTTAATGCATCTTTATGTAGAAGAATATTTCACAGTTTGTTTCTTACTCTATTCATTGATCCAATTTTTTATTTTCCTTTTTTGAATACTCTATTAAAACCAACTAATGTTAGCAAGTGATTTTATTTTCATGACTTTCCCCAGTTGAAAAATAATGAATAGAAATTGTCCAGAATATGATAATTTGGATCTTCCCTTATTCAATTCCACCAAGAACATTTTAAAATCATGAAATCAGATCACTGTGAAGTGGCATTAAAATTACAAAGATCATATCTTAGGTGTACAAAGTTTAAAGTTGATTGGACTTCAACTTCCTTGATCAAAAATTTAAACCTGAAGCATGACAGACTGACGGACGAACAGATGAACAGATGCACGGACGCACATACCGAAAAACATAATGCCCCTAAGTGGGACATAAAAAAAGAGAAAATATAGAATATAGTACAATGGTTTCTTCCAATATCAGAGCAATCAAAACCTTTATTGTTGGCTCATTAACATCAATACTGAAGGAGATAACACTTCATTTACCAAAACAAAGGTTTCAAGCGCAGGCTAAATTTGTGTGCTTTTGCTTCTGATAATTGACAACTAGCAATTCAAAATAAGTCTATGATGAGTGAACAACTGTGAACAGTGTTTTGAGGAGAATGTGCTAAGCACATGATGAGGCAGTTGAATTGCAAGCAATTAAGTCAATCTATAAAGGTCCTATTTGGCCTGGAATATTAATTCAGTCCATTGTTTTAAGTTCAAAATTGTTCAAGTTGATGAGCAGACACATAAATAAGAGAAATACTGCTTGTGTAGAGATTTTCTTTTAAAGTGTTAACATTTACAATCCGATTGAACCAAAATTAGAGATTTAAGTGAAATTTGACAAAATCATCTGGATTTCAATTTAAGCCTAGAACACATAGAGTGTATGCTTTGACAAACTAAATAATCAAGTCAGATATGTAAAATGTTATAATAAAATATAGTTTAAAAGATCTTGCTTCACAGTGCATGTACTCTTCATTACGTCAAAAAATAATAATCTATGGAGATTGACATGTTTTTATTTCAATTTTTCTAGAAAATCAAAATGTGTGTCATCAAGGAAAGCCCGTTAATATGTAAATTTTCTACCTAGTCATGATTCATTATAATGATGGTCAATAAATCCTAATTTGAAATTTTTGCTGGATAAAGGAGTCATTTTTGGGCCTTATTGAACCTACTGGTTTTCAAAATGGATACCATTACTGAATTTCATGGCTACCGTTGGGGTGGGTGCTGGAGGCAGGAATTTGTCAACTCACCACATCATAATCCTCATCAAATAATTCCTAACCAAAAATAAGGAGCATTTACATAGCTAGTTATGGATGTGAACAAATTGTGACTTAATGTTTCTTTAATGTCCAGTCAAAAATATTTCACTCATACTCATAGCAATGAAGAAATTTTCAAATAAGTTAAAATTGAATTGATATTATAAATTTAAACACTGAAGAATGTCACACAAAGAAATTATTTCCAACATTGAAATTTTTTTTTATGAAAGCATAATATTTCCTACATGATGGCAATACATTATATATATATTCTTTTTTTTTATATCTATAAAACTTCACATTTACAGTCCTTTGTCAAACAAATGTTTAAAATGAAAAAGAGAAATCAAAAGACCTTCAATAAAACTTGACTTTTACCTTATTCTCAATCTGTATCTTGAATGAACTTCCAACAATCGTGAAGATATCATTGAGGACAATGGCAACATACCATAAGTTTAAAAACTCAAATTTATCTGACCGTGATAGTTCTTTACGATAAACTTTTCTGAAGTGTTCTATTGTCTTCTGCAACACAAAACATTTTAAATATAGGCTGATTTCAACACATGATAAAATATAAATCCCCCCCCCCCCCCCCCCCCCCTTTCAATAAAGTGTCCTACCTACCTATTTTAAAATATAGGCTGTTTTTAACATATGATAAAAGATGAAGATAAATTATTTTGAAGAACAACCAAAAAAGAGGATTTGGGGATCCCACCAACAGCTTTATCCCCCCTCCTAAAAAAAAGGCCTTCCTACCTATTTTGAAAATTTATGAAATAAGAATGACATGCATTTTTTTGTTAGGCCTTATTTACTCAACAAGCAAAAAATATAAAACTGCATCAAAGATGGGGGGGTTTTTTATTTTCACTGATGAGCCAAGTTATGGGAATAACAAAATCATCCCCTACTTCACAAAGTAATTACTGTATGCAGTTTAATATTATTATAACCTGATTCTATAACAACAAATAACAAGAACAAACACTGAATTTGTTACCTGTTTGAGTTGATGTCCTCTGTATAGAGACCTCAAACACAGAACTGCAGAGAGAACACTCACACATATAACAAAGATATCATACAGTGTATTCGTAAGTCTCTCCTGCTTCTCTTCATCTGAAAATAGGCAGAAAACATGTGAAGTGTGGAAACACAACAATGTCTTGTCTGAGGAAAACATTGATACATGAAACAGTTAGAAAATAAAGAGAAACACAATCTCTTCCTTCTTTCCTACCTCTGAAAATACACATTGATGTTGTGGACAATTGTGTACACATAGAAAATACACATTGATGTTGTGGACAATTGTGTACACATAGAAAATACACATTGATGTTGTGGACAATTGTGTACACATAGAAAATGATATAAAACCAATATATTGTATTTGTCTCACATAAATTAGTTCTTTTTCTCTAAACAAAACAATGATTCATGCAATATACAATAATATGACATTTCATGATAATATTAAAATACAAACATCTTTTCTCTGTTGTTTTTTTGTTGTTTACTTCATTTATAGACATATATGTAATTTATTCTTATATCAAAATTAACAACAAACAAATCTATGATCATCTTGTCAGTCAGTGTATGGTATGCAGTGATAACGGTATATTCAGAAAATATTCCAGCCATTCATCCATGAGATTGTGATATACAGTACAAATCATTACATATGCAACACCAGATTCCATGTAATTATTTTTATCTCCTTCAGTAATAAATCTTTAAGATTACATGTGATTTCCTTATCATTGTTTCAGAATGACATGTAATTATACGATAAGTTACATGTCAAACAAACTCAGTAGCTACTTTCATATTGCATGTAAACAGATGTTTTTTTTATATCAGTGTCCACTTTTCATATCAGTTTTATGTAAGTAGTTTTCAGATAAAAATAATAATATTACATGTAATCAGATGTTTTATTTATCAGCCTACACTTTTTTTATCAGTTTTATGCAAGTAGTTTTTAGATAAAAAGAATTTAAGTAGATAGGGATGTACCCTATCATAGCAACAGTAAAATTTTTCTGTAATTGCAGTAATCTACTATAATATGAGAAAAAAAAAGTGAATTTACTATAGAAATGAATGTGTTTTTACCTGCATCACCAAGGTGAAAGCAGGACTATTAACCGCTCAACTCCGTTGTAAAGCAGAGGTTTATAGTGATGGGGGAGTTCATCTGCTCGTTCATCCGTTCGGTACAATATGTTTCACTTTGTATCCGCAACTCCTAAACCACTTATCAGAATGAAATGAAACTTTCTCAGATTCTCAATCATATAATACCATTGTGCACCTCCTATTTTGTTTTTGTTCAAAATCATTTTTGGGGTTTCTATTTCAAACACGTGGCCTTTGCCATTGCCTTATAATGGGGGTACCCATTGTGTATCTGCAACTCCTATTATAAACCACTTATTATAATTTAAAGAAACTTTCTCAGATTCCCAATCATATAATGCCATTGTGCACCTCCTATTTTGTTTTTGTTCAAAATCATTTTTGGGGTTTCTATTTCCAAAACATGGACTTTGCCATTGCCTTATAATTGGGGTACCCTTTGTATTTGATCTCCTCCTAAACCAACCACTTATCTCAATTTAATGAAACTTTCCAAGATTCTGAATTATATAATGCCATTGTGCACCTCCTTTTTATACGACCGCAAAAATTAAAATTTTTTTGGTCGTATATTGGTATGACGTTGTCGTCGTCGTCGGCGTCGTCCGAAGACACATTGGTTTTCGCACTCTAACTTTAGTTTAAGTTAATGGATCTCCATGAAATTTTACCATAAGGTTCAATACCACGAAAGGAAGGTTGGGATTGATTTTGGGGGTTATGGTACCAACAGTTAAGGAATTAGGGGCCAAAAAGGGGCCAAAAATAAGCATTTTTGTAACTTCCAGACAATAACTTGTGTGTAAGTGTATGGATCTCTCTGACATTGTACCACAAGGTTCCATATCACATAGGGAAGGCTGTAATTGATTTTGGGGGTAATTGCCTCAAAATTTTAGGAATTAGGGGCCAAAAAAGGGGCAAAAAACAAGCATTTTTCTAGTTTCATGACAATTACTTGTGTGTAAGTGTTTGGATATTTCTTAAATTGTACTACAAGGTTCCATATCACAAAGGGAAAGCTGGAATTGAGTTTGGGGGTAATTGCCCGAAACGTTTAGGAATTGGGGGCCAAAAAGGGACCAAAAATAAGCATTTTTCTAGTTTCCAGACAATAACTTGTGTTCAATTGTATGGATCTCTCTGAAATTGTACTGCAAGATACCATACCACAAAGGGAAGGCTGGGATTGAGTTTGGGGGTGATGAATCATAAGGGGGTTCAAAAAATTTTGGGGGGGGGGTTTTCTTTTTTTTTCTTTTTTTCCTTTTTTTTTTTCTTTTAAAATTTTCCATTATAAGTTGGTTATTTCTGATTTATATTTAAAAGCAAATAATAATGATATGGTAGGAAATACACACCAAACAGGATGTGTAAATTATTATACAATAAGTATTGTGCAATAGCAAGAAATTTTCAATTGCACAGTATTGCACAATAGCAAGAAATCTTCAATTGCACAGTATTGCGCAATAGCAAGAAATCTTCAATTGCACAGTATTGCGCAATAGCAAGAAATATCCAATAGCACAATATTGTGCAATAGCAAGAAATTGTCAATTGTACAGTATTGTGCAATAGCAAGAAATATTCAATTGCACAGTATTGTGCAAAAGAATATACTTTGTAAATTGCTTATTTCTTGATCAATTTCAATGGGGTTTTATTCTTGAATTCTTGGGGTTCTTTAATATGCTGAATCTAACCATGTATTAAGTTTTTGGATTTTGGGCCCTGTTTTTAAATTGGTCCACATTGAGGTCCAAAGGGTCCAAAATTTAACTTTGTTTGATTTCATCAAAAATTGAATTATTGGGGTTCTTTGATATGCCGAATCTAACCGTGTATTTAGATTCTTAATTTTTGGTTCCGTTTTCAAATTGGTCTACATAAAGGTCCAAAGGGTCCAAAATTAAACTTAGTTTGATTTCAACAAAAATTGAATATATGGGGTTCTTTGATATGCTGAATCTAACCATGTATTTAGATTTTTGATTATGGGCCCAGTTTTCAAGTTGGTCCAAATCAGGGTCCAAAATTAAACTTTATTTGATTTCAACAAAAATTGAATATATGGGGTTCTTTGATATGCTGAATCTAACCATGTATTTAGATTTTTGATTATGGGCCCAGTTTTCAAGTTGGTCCAAATCGGGGTCCAAAATTTAACTTTGTTTGATTTCAACAAAAATTGAATATATGGGGTTCTTTCATATGCTGAATATAACCGTGTATTAAGTTTTTGTATGTTGGGCCCCGTTTTTAAATTGGTCCACATTGAGGTCCAAAGGGTCCAAAATTTAACTTTGTTTGATTTCATCAAAAATTGAATTATTGGGGTTCTTTGATATGCCGAATCTAACCGTGTATTTAGATTCTTAATTTTTGGTTCCGTTTTCAAATTGGTCTACATAAAGGTCCAAAGGGTCCAAAATTAAACTTAGTTTGATTTTAACAAAAATTGAATTTATAGGGTTCTTTGATATGCTAAATCTAAACATGTGTTTAGATTTTTGATTATGGGCCCAGTTTTCAAGTTGGTCCAAATCGGGGTCCAAAATTAAACTTTGTTTGATTTCAACAAAAATTGAATATATGGGGTTCTTTGATATGCTGAATCTAACCATGTATTTAGATTTTTGATTTTTGGGCCCCGTTATCAACTTTGTCCACATTGAGATCAAAAGGGTCCAAAATTAAACTTTGTTTGATTTCATCAAAAATTGAATTCTTGGGGTTCTTTGATATGCTGAATCTAACCATGTATTAGATTTTGGATATTGGACCATAATAGGTGAATGTCCAATTTAAAATTTTTAAGTTCTTAGACCACATTCATTCTGTGTCAGAAACCTATGCTGTGTCAAATATTTAATCACAATCCAAATTCAGAGCTGTATCAAGCTTGAATGTGGTGTCCATACTTGCCCAACTGTTCAGGGTTCGACTTCTGCGGTCGTATCAAGCTGCGCCCTGCGGAGCATTTTATTTTTTTTTATGTCAAAATTGTTTTGGGGATCTTTTTTTTTATAAAGGGGGGGGGGGGGGAACCAATTTTGTATCAGCAACATCTTCTAAACCACTTATTATAATCTACTGAAACTATCTCAGATTCTTTGTCATATAATTCAATTGTGCACTTTCCTATTTTGATATTTGATAAAAATAATATTTAGGGTTTTTCTTTTTCAAACATGGACTACGCCTATGCCTTATGTATATGCACCACCTAATTTATGTTACGTATGGTAAAATAAAAAAAAAATTGGGTTTCCAAAACAGAAACATGGACTTTGCAAGGGGTGGGGGGTATAATTTCGTGAGTTCTGCTCACAATACCTCTAGTTTGAGTCTCCCAAACAAAATTTGGAGACTTATTGGTTTTGCTCAGGTCTTATTATTATTACTATGCCACCCTCAATGGAGTTGGGGTGACATATTGTTATTCTACGTTTCTTTTTTTTCTTATTATTGGGGGTGGATAAATTTTTTTACCAGACTAGTTCTCGGAATTGTATGGACCAATTTTCATGGAACTTTACCATAAGGAGGACCACCAAGTGTAGTTGTGCACCTGACATTTGGAAATTGAATGTGTGAGATGGCCACCGTTTTCCATGGAAACTCAAAATTTTAATGGAACATTCTTGAACATTTAACTAAAGATTTGTGCATTTGAAATGGCTGGACTGATAATGATGGAACTATGTCATAATGTGACCCACCATGTGAAATTGTGCACCTGACGTTGGAATGTGCAACATGGCTTCTGTTTCCATGGAAACTGCAAAAATGTGATTTTTTTTTCAAATTTATAAATCATTGTAAAATTTTATATTTTTGACCCAACTTAATGAAACTTTATGGTAATATTGCCTGGAATGTATAGATATGCAAACAGTATTTGGAATTTCCAAAATGGCTGCCATTGCCATGGAAACAGGGGAAAAGATTAACATTGAACCAATGGGAAA